ACTATAAATATAATTTTTAAAATTTGAAACTAAATGTTTTAGATTATTTACAATTATTTACAAGAATATCATGTAAATAAAATAATGTTTAATAAATTAAAGAAATCACCATAAACAAGAGTAAAACATCAAAAAAGAACTCATATTTTGGTACCATACTTTCTTTATATTAAACTCCTATTTAGGATGATTTTTTTACCGTTTTTAAACATTTTATTCACATTATATTCTTCTAAATAATATGAAAAATTTACTGTCAAATTTATAAAATTATATTTATAGTTTTTAGTATTATATTGTCATCCTATAAAATTTAAAATATTTTACCATAATTAATGTATTTTTATTTCAAAAATGGACTAAAATACCCCGTTAGGAATTAAAGTACCATTTTGTGAATATATATAAGGCTTAACTTCGTTTTATCACCGTTTTAACGGCCGTTAGTCGGTGGGAATGAACTGAGTATTATTCTCAATTAACGAGTACCGTCTCAGAAATTAGTTAATTTTGGGGACCAATTTGGGAAAACATATAATTATTGAGTACCATTTTAGAAATTTACTCTAATACTAATACCACTCTACTTTTCCATTCAAAAAAAAATAGTACTCTACTTTTACTAATTTATAAAATTATTCTTTAATATTTATCTATTTTATTAAATTAAATTATATTATCCTCGTCTCTGAGTATTTGTCAAGTTTTAACTTTTATAGTCAATAAATTTTATTATTTGACCTATAATTAAATAAAACTTATATGATACATTGATTTGATAAAAAAATATTTTGAAATTTATTATATAAAAAATCTAAAAAAATTATTTTTATATCAATATCTAATATCAATTCTATTTAATTAGTTGTCAAAATTCATCAGTTTTGACTAAAAAATGAAAACTGGACAAATAATCATAGAAGGAGAAAGTATCTTTAATCATTTAAATAAATAAACTTTTTTCTTAATTTTTGTTTTAATTTTTTCCCATCCAAACTCTTTTTATTTTTTAGTTTATGGAGTACTTAAAATATGTTATGTTACAAAGAAAATAATAATAAGTCATTTCTCTTTCAATTCAAAAGTGTTTGGATGAAAATATAAGTGACTGTATGTTTATTCCCGTATGGCCGATTGTATAGTTCTTCCCGTACATCCGATTGTGTGGTAGAATTTGCGCTCACTTACACATAAATAAGGTAGTGTTCATGGTGATCACATGATGACATGACACTGCCAACTCAACTCACGCCACTTCCATGAACAGATCAGATGCACTATGGATGGTATTAGAGGCATGACGTATATATATAATACTCGATTGGTATGTTCAAGTGGGATGTCATTTCTTGTGGTGAGTGTCAAAGAAATAAATTCGAGTTGGATTCTTGACAACGGTGATATAAAATGATCAAGTTCCACACGAGCTGAGGTTCTTGCACATATAAGAAACATGGTCACTTCTATTGACCATTTGAGATTATAGTTTTTATTTTCTTTGACCTTACTATTTAGGTTGATACTAGAAAACATGAAGGTTGGGGTTCAGTCTTTTATGTGAAGGGGATGCCAAAAAGAATGGTTAACTAACTATGTTTTTAGTCTTTAATTATAAAATAGACAGCCTCTTTTTTTGACTTTGTTAAAAAAATATTTGTTCAACTACAAAAAAAATTATTTTAAAAATGACTCACAAACGTAATTAACACTTCTATTTTGTTCGCATAGAAATATTATTTCATACTAAATATTTTTGTCTTACATTTCTAATTAATTCGAGCATAATTCTCATGCCCTATTTTTTTTAATATGTTCAAGTAGATTTCTTAGTTATAATACTTCCTTGTTTTCCAAAAAAAAGAAAAAAGTTTCATATTCAAATTGATACCGAGATTAAGAAAAATAAAATTGTATGATTAAAAATGATATAGATGAAAGAGAAATTATATGAATCCCAAAGATGTTTTCTAAAAATGAAAAGTGTAATCTTTTCATTATATCAACGAAAAAATATTTAATTAGTACAAAGTATCTGAAAATATTTTATGAGACGAAAGAAAGAAGGTTAGAGATGTGGAAGGGATCCTCTTTTAATACATGGAGTGCAAAATGGAGTAGAAAACATATAATGTTGATTATGTTGTCCTATGAAACTCCGAGGACTTGTTGCATGCATGCATTACATGTTGAAGGTGTACATTCATTCGTCCATTCAACTCGGATTTGAGGAAGCGGAATCATAATACGACGGAGTATATATATATATATATATATATATATATATATATATATATATATATATATTGATTCTGTAATACGGAGTATATTGCTCCGTACCGTCTTTGTTTCTCTGCTTCCGGTCACATTTGTGATGATATTGATTGATTGATTCATAAAAGAAAAAAAAAAGGTGAGCCCCATGTTTCGAGAGTCATCTCAAACTCGACGGAACGATCAGTAAGAGAAGATAAATTAGACTTAAATAGCAAATTGGTGGCAAAGAATGAAACATGCATCTAGTACTTGCAGAGGCTCTATGCTTAGCATAATCAACTGCGCAACGCCCACCATCAAATATATCCCAAAAAAGAGGCTATGAGGGTGGGAAAGAGAGACAATTGGGTGGAGAGGAATGGTTTAATTTGTAGCGATAAGTCAATGTTTTTGTCACAATGTATGTAGTTCTTTATATTTTCAAAAAATCTCCGATTATAAAGGACTATTTAGATAATTTACTCTTTTTAAATCACTTTTAATATAGAAATTAAAAGTTAATAATTTGCACAACATTAAAAATAATTTACCAAAAGTTTCATTTTTTTATACGAAATTATTTTAGAATAGATTGAAATTAAAAATTAATTATAAATCATTCCAAATAGGAGTAAAACATAGTATTTATCATCAACATAAAAATTCCATGTTTTTTTCTACAAAGTATGAGTTTGACATAATGACATTGTATAGTATTATCTCATTGAATTTTTTGGCACTATATATTGGTATTATTAACATTATACTTCTATTTTGGAGATAAAAAATATGAAGCTCCTATGTTCTTAAAACGAGATAATAACGTACTCCCAATTTCTTTCTAAATCCTATCTATTTCAAACGGATTCTCATAATAAAAATATGAAATTTTTGGTAAATTATTTTTCATATTTATTAATTTTTATATTAAAAGTGATTTAAAAGAGTAAATTCCCTAAATAATCTTTCATAATGGGATATTTTTTATATTTAATCTATATTTATCAAATATTATATTCACGATCATTATTAATTAAGTATGATTCAACAATTAGTCCTTGTCTAACGGCATAGAGACAGGAAAATAGACAAAAGACCAAATGCGGAATGGTACCAATTAACAAGGACCGTGAACATAATATTGGATAAATATGGTCTAAATATAGAAAACCCTAGTTATAAATGACTTTTAGAAAATTTGGTCTTTAACAATTTTACCATAAAAATGTACTCCGTTTGTAAAAAATACTCCCTCTGTCCCAAAAAGATTACACGTTTCAAAAAAATTGCGTCTCACAATCCCCTTCCCATTTCTATTAAAAAACCACTTTTACCCCTTACTTTTTCAAACCCTACCTATCACATCATACCTTTTTTCTAATAATCTACACATCACATCATATTTTTACCTATCACATCAAGGATATTTTTGGAAAGTCAACATAAAATTATCACTCCCTTAATTTTTACTTTAGTCAAAAAGTACCCATCTTTATGGGATGGAGGGAGTATTTGTTTTCCTTCGAACACAACAATTTAAAAAATATTGTACCAAAATAACATTACTCTGCACAGTGACTGATTCAGGAATCGAAATGACCGGGAACAGTAAGTAGTAAGGCAAGGGTTCAAGGGTTGCGCCCCTAAATTTTTTTAGACACTTTTAAATTATGATGAAAAAACAAGTTTTATACGGAGTATTAAACAAATTTAAAATACGTAAAGAAAATATTTCATACTCCGTAAATAGATAAATACGTAGTAAAACAAAATATTCCCAAAGTTAGGAAAGGTATGCCTATATACAACCTCCCTAGTGAGTTCTTGTTTGTGTAAATATTTTAACTTTACACTCTATTTAAATAAATTTACTTTTGTTTTGATATGAATTTTTTTTACCGGTGGCACAAACATTTCTTACAAGGGGTAAAACATTTAATTTACCAATTTTTTTCACTTTTTACACTACATATTTAAAAGAAAAAAAATAACCGGAAAAATAATTTTATTACCAGGAGACTATTTTCCAAAGACTTTATTACCAAAAACTAAAATGGAAAAAATGACTTGCCTTACCAAACGGACCCTTAGAGCACTGGGTATACTCCTCACGCCCACCGGCGTTACGGGGCGTTTAACGCCCCGGGGGGCGTGAAACACCGCCCCCCGCCGGCGTTAAACGGGCGTGAGGAGCCCTGCGTCATTCGTTTGACGCGGCGTGACTCTTGCGTGGCTCCCTCCTAACGGCTAAAAAAGCTGTTGCAGCCCAGATTTCAAAAAAAAAATCCTATAAATTCAACCCCCCAAACCAATCTCTCACACCTTCTCTTCAATCTCTTCTTCTTTATTATTTTTAAATTTCGAAATTCAACCCCCCCTCCCAAGAGTGGGGCGATCGACCGCCCAATTTACCTTAGTTTTTTTTATTAATGTATCTTTTTTTAAAAATTATTGTCGCTTTTTTTTATTTAATTAATGTGTTTTTTTATTATTCGTGTTTCAATTTAATTAAATAATAAATTAATTACATTTTATTAATTTAATTTTAGAAAATGTATATTTAAAAATGTAAAAAATGAAGATTTGAAGCCCCAGTTTGAAGCCCGGGGCTTCAAACCCATTTCCAGTAAATTTTGGGTGTAAGTTAAAACTGACGTGGCAGAGAGAAAGTTTGAAGCCCCGGTTTAAAGCCCGGAGGCTTCAAACCTATTACCAGCAGCTATGGTCGGTGTGAAAATTTATTTGTACGTACTTTAAAATGATGACTCCATTCTTCTTCATATCAATAAAGTCAACAAGCTTTCCAGGAGCACATGTTTTATCTTTCTTTCCACATTTCCAAGACACTCTATTTCTGTGATCTCATCTACACGCTTCCCCTCCGCCAAAGAACCGCCGTCTCCTCCACCACCCCTCCGGAGACAGCCGGCGAACTGTATCGAATCCAAAACCAATTTAACATTCTCTCCTGAATTAATTGTTCGATTTCAGAAATGGGTAATTATTGCTGTGTTACCTCCAGTGTCAAGCCGCCTCCACATTCTCACTCGGCGGCGAACTCCAACCGGAGAACTGCGTCTCCGCCGCTCGACCACCCGTTGCCGGAGGAGGAAACCGTCAAGGAGGTTCTCTCCGAAACGCCCACTCTTCTCCCCAAGTCCGCACTGCCCGTCGACGATGGGCCCCACAAAAATCCACCACTCCCCAAAGATCAGGAGAATCGCCAAAACGACGTCGGTCTCACGAAGGCCGCTGCTGCAGCGGCGGCGGATGCGGTGGATTCCGTTCCCGACGACCTCTCGGGAGGTTTCTCCGGCTCTGAGATCTGCAGCACTCTCAGCGAGAGCGTTCCCGCCACTGCGGCGTCTGGCAAGCTAGATGACGTCACGCAGAGGTCTCCGGCAAGCGTACTAAAGGGGCCATTTCCCGGAGAGGCGAGAAGAGAGAGGATCTCGGAACCGTCGCCCGGCCGAGTTAGATCCGGGGCTGGGAGAGGTTCTTCCGGCCGGCCATCCGGGAACGTGCCGCGGAAGGGGAGTCCTGAAAAAATTGGGCGGAGGTCAGTTTCGCCGGCGACGAGGACGGGAATCGGCTGCGCGGAAACGGGTTTGGGTCGGACTCCAACAATGCGGAAATCGGGAAAGTCACCGGGTCGGGTGAGATCCGACATGAGCGACAAGATCCGGATGTTGGAGGGAAGCTTTAAGAACCATAACAATGGCGGCCAAAAGTGGGAATCAACAAAGAGTAAGGAGTCCCTTGAAAACCCACTTGTGTCCCTCGAATGCTTCATATTCCTTTAGAGTTTGTACATGTACAAGATTGTGAAATGGGGGTTACTTTCGTCCTTTCAGTTGGCCTGAACTTCCAAAGGTTCGATCTTGGATAGTTGGATGAGCTTTGTATATAATTCTAAATTAACGAATAAAAAATACAGAGTACGTAGTATTACTTTCTTCTTACAATATTTGAGTTTTTGATTTGCTTAATGCTAAATAATTAAAGATGAAAAGGGCAATGGTATCACTAGCTTTTTAAAATGGGAGTTTAAACATATACCGTATGAGTCACATTTCATTTTTGGTCATGCCAAGCTGTGATGGTTCATATCACTTCATATCCTAAATTTTAACAACAAAATTTTATCTTTATTAATGATTAGGTGAGGTTGTCAAATTTAGAATTCTTATACGACATGCTTCCCTATTTATCTTTAACCAAATATTACCAGAGTAGTACAACTTTTATGATACATCAATAGTCAAATGGATTATGGATATAGAGTATAGACACACATCTCTCTACATTATTAATGTTAATGGAAAAAGGTAAGTGTATCCCAAATGTAAACCACAGACACACACAGACACTCAATTATCTGTATTTTGTACAGACAATGGGTGTCCGTGTATGTCTGTGAGAAGGTAGTCTACGTTTGTTTTAGCGAATCCCATGTCCAAGAAGTATGGAGGGGATTCTAGGGTTCAATATACTCCGTATATGTTTTCAATCTATCAAGAAACATATAATAATAATAATAATAATAATAATAATAATAATAATAATAATAACAATCACCTAAAAAGGAGAGTAGGAAGTATAAAGCATCGGCTGGGTTCACCTGACATGTCCTTTAAATGTCATGGGATGACCTTTTCAATCTCAGCCCTTGATTCTAATAACTTTTTAAATGAAGGGATCAGATTTAGTATCACTTTTTTTAGCTTTAACTCACCTAAAATTAACGGAGCCCCCTTCTTTTACTCCGTCACTGCTTCTCGCCCATCGTCTCTGTCTCTGTTCTCCTCCGCCGAATCCACACGACGTTCTCTGCAATCTCCTCGGCGACCGGCGATGGCTTTGTCGTGGCATCTCTCCCGACGAGGTAAGTTCCCCCACACCCTCTCCTCCGGTTTGACTTTACTTCAAGATGGCCCAATTTTCATTAACCCTAGTTACGAGCTTCATGCCCTCTCTGGTTCTAGTTCAATTCAAGGTTTGGCATGCTTTGATTTTGATCTTACGAGCTTCACAAAGCTTAATTTATCAAGAATTAGTGGGGGAACCATCCAATATTCAATTTGTTCTTGGTTTGAATTTATTTCAATTTTATTTGGTTGAATTTGTATCTATTTTTGTTCTGTGAAAACCCTTTTTCTTGGATTACATTTTTTTGAAGGATGATGGCATATATCAATTCGCAAAGTCTTTATACCAAGAAAATCTGAGCAGAATTTTTAGCTTTATACATGCAAGTGAACAAGAGCAGCGTACCAGTGATATTCCGATTGTTTCGGGTGTAGGTTCTAGTCCTACAGTGCTTGAAAGTCAGACTACACAATCAAGCGTTCAAGTTATTCTTAACCCTAACATTTCCAAGACCAAGGGGAGAAAGAAGGAGAACAAATGTTGGAAATCAAGCCTTGAAGTAGCAACAAGTGGCCAACGTCGGTGTAGTATTTGTCGAGAAATTGGACACAACGCAACCACTTGCAAGGTATGCAAATGTATGAAGTTATGTCTCAAGTTATGTATGAATTTTAATATTTTACAATCTTTTTGCAGAAAAAAAATGTTGAGGCTATTGTTCCAGATCGAACAATAGACCAAGAATGAGCGGATTTAGAAGGGCAGAAGTAAATGATGTTTTGATGATTTCTTGTTATGTATTTCATGTCATATCTAGTAATGTTTGATGTTTAAAATTGTTAGTTCGTATCATTTGAGACAATAATTTTAATGTATGTTGACTTGGTGGTATTTGAGATTTGGTGTAATTTTAAGGTTATTTGAGACTTGGTGGTTTTTATGAAATCTGGTTCATATGAGTTGACCCCAAATGTAGTTCCTCACTTCTTCCCCATGTAATGTCCATATACTGCAGTGTGACTAAGATGTTATGCATTTTCTTTTTAAGCATCACAGTGTACATGTTTAGCTCATGGGATGATCACGGACCTAAAAACCACAAGCTAAACACATTTAGCAGATATTTATTTACTAACATTCAGCACTAGGAATCATATGAAGGGGTGGAACCAAGGTCTGAGCATGTTAATAAGTGGAAGCCTTTATATTTTTAATTTGGCAAATTCACATTCTATTTGGCAGGTATGAATATGTGAATTGTGAATTCTAAAAACGAGGAATAATCTAGATGATGCACTTCATATATATCACAACCAAATGAGAAATAAATCAATGATACAAAAAGTACATAACTCCACACTACAACCATCGTGCATAGTACATCCTACGTGCATTTTACATCCATAGTAACATCTAGTTCAATACATCGAACATTCAATTAACAAGATTTTGGTACAACAGTATTGCTACCAACAAGAGAATACAAATATGCAAAAACACTTCTCGTTTCTTGTATTTGCTGATTCTTGACTCCAATGTTGCATTCTTGGACAGTACCTCTCTTTCACGAACGTTGGCATCTATTACTTCTCTTTGTAAGTTCATGATAAGGCCTTGAAACTCCTTGGCAGTCTCATTGCTACTCATGGTGGCAGTGTCCTTAGTCTTTTC